AGCCCATTTCTATATGCAGCAAGACCTGGATAATATCCAGGCTTAGGCTGATAAGTGACCAATAGCATTCGCAGCACACAAGTTCAAGGCAATGACGATCTCCGACAAGAGAGGATCGAACCATTGCCCCTTCACATTCAATGGCATTATCAACACTGAATCTCCAACAACCTAAGTGGAAAAATAAACTGAAAACAGTGATATTTGGAAATGAATGCATTGGATCTCCATTTTGAAGCATTGTAATGTAAGGTGTATAATAACAGTTTACTTTTGAGTTTAGATGTCTGAATTTTGAACTAGTGTATTGTGAGCTTTCTATGAGAATGAAGGGGTTTAGTAACTAATTTGTAAGTAGTTCTCTTGACACAATATTGTCTTTTAAAGAGATTAGTATGTCTGGCTAAGAGGCAAGGTGCAAAAAATGCAAAGCAAGGCAAGACAGAGATGCTGTGAGCACGCAGGTACATTCAGAATGAGTAAGCACTAATAGAACAAGAAAACAGCCTGCAGATGCATCTTGATCCAGTCCATAAGGTAGGTGTGTATCCCTGAGTGCAAAGTGTCCTTACTGTAGCCTGATAGTTGGCATTGCACCCCAAAATGCAATATTGAAGTGCAGTGTAAGTAAATGTAGATGTTCCCTGAGGGCTCTTAGAGGTTGGCATATGTCAGATGACAATGTCCACAGATGTTAGGTGCATGTGACCATTGCCCATGGGGCATGCCTCAGACATTGGCACTTGGTATCCAACATGGAGATTTTTGGAGCAAACAGTGAACGAGACACCAGGTACCCACTCTGATTTTCGTAGCAAGAATTCTTGGCATCTAGTACACATACGGTGGTAGTATAGGAACATGCATATTAATAAGGTGAAATATGCACTTATTAATATTGTCAACTGGCAATAATTTCCCCTTAAATTATCAACTTGCCACTTCCTAGCGAGAATCTCACCTCGACACCCAGAACTTAGTTAAAAGGTGCAGCAAGTTGCACCCAACATCGAGATAGGCTTTACTGGACTTCTCACACAATTCTGCCACATTTGACAACAGAGTCCACTTTATTCTGGGTGCCTATAACATTTTGCTTGTGTTTCTTTTTTACATCTCTTGCCCATGGTGAAACAAGACAATAAATGCTGTAGTTCTTATTGTTGACAGGAATCCTTCAAAAATAGGATGCGTGTATTTCCCAGACTGCTATGCAAGTCCATCTTTAATTAGGTTTTTACTTCAGGTTCAGAACCACCCAGAGCTGATCCTGCCAGAAGTCACCTGATTTTTAATGGCATTATAATTATTTGCATTTAATGTTTTAAGATATTATCAGAAAGTTTGCAAAATACCGGAGCAAAAGGTTTAGCTGTCCAGTTAATTAAACTTTTCAATAAGCCTTTATGTACCATGTGATGTTTCTAAACAAAATCCTGTTACAGATTTTCTCAAAAGCAGGCTTCTAATTTTTGGAGTACAGGCAAATGAAATTTATAGGGTAAGAACTGTTGGAAATTTAGTTATACAGATTTTCAGGTAACACATTTACAGAAGTTGTTTAGAAAGATATATTTATTTTAATCACCAGAACAGCAGGAGGAAGACAACTACAAATCAGAGAATGAAACGACACTGTGTGGGAAAGAAAAGAATCGATAGAGCAGAGTTGAGGAGTAGCTGAGAGAGCTACTTTCTGGTCTGGCCTACATATGGCTCCAGAACTACAGCAACTTGGTTAACTCTTAAATGCCCACTGGGCAATTAGTATAGGCAATAAATGCTGGCCTAGGCAATGATACCCACATTCCATGAATAAATTTTAAAATGTTGACTCTGGCTGATTATGTCAAAGCTCTCTAAAAGCCTTCCTCTAAAATCTTGAATAATAATATGTCACAGGGAAGATGCTATACGTTAAGCAAAATACCCTGCAGTTTCCTGCTTACTGTTTCCCTTCCCTTTGAATAAAGGAGTTACATTGACTATTTTCCAAGCTTTTAGAAACTTCTGCAAATCACGTGAATATAAAATCAAGATTTTGTCTGTTAGAAGTGGTCAATTCCAGGGAAAATGACAACAATTATTGGACACAATTACGACCAAACTAAAACCAAAACTGCTTTTGGATGAGTGAAACAATTAATAGAACAGAGGATAGTGAACATTTGTGGTGTTTATGGGAAAGCTTTTTGACTAAACAATGATTCTGTGGGACAGATAGGAAAGGTTTGCAAGGCACAGCAGAGTTGGCAAATTACATTACATTTGTTGATAACATCATTTCATTCATGGCAAGAAGACATGCTGTTAAAATTGCTAGCATCAAAATTAATTAGGGTGTCTTCTGTGGCTGATTAGTGGAGCTACTAGCACTTTTATCCACCCAAGGATCTTCTGTGCAACTGTATCCACATGTCTAATAGATTGCTAGATTCCAAGACATAATAACAGCAAGTACTGGGGAAATGCAGGAGGTCTGGCACCTTATTAATCATTGTCTCAAAGGTCTTATGAATGGTTTATTCTTTATTTTCTTTCTGTCTGACCAGTTATATAGAGAAGATGCCACAAGAGACCCTCAACGTGGCTACTGGTAAAGAAGTCTGTGTCATTCAAAATTAAATGAATTCTTTAAAAATGTCACCAGTTTAGCAGATGATGGAAACCAGCAGACAGTTTCCAGCTGGACTTTCAGGAAACCTTGGATAAAATATCTCACAAGAGGGTACACTGTCAGATAGAACTTTGTAGAAGAATGCCAATTAGCTGCAGTAGGTTAAGAATTGACTGAAGGACCATTGATAGAAAGTAGCTGTGAATAGATTTTATCATGTTTGGAGACTAGTTACCAGTGATGTTCCCCAAGTGCAACATTAAGAGCTTTGCCTTTTATCAACTTCAGAAATTATCTAGATGTAAGTTTTGATATTTATTTGTTATAAATCTACAAGTGAGTGTGAGGACATAGAAGATGCAAAACTACTACAAGCAGATGAGTCTAGAGAATGGGCCTTTTTTTATTATTTAGAAACGTGTTTCACTACACAATTGTGATACTGAATATCACCTTTATTGGGAACATAAAAGATCAGCATGCTTGAGAGATAAGTCTGTAAATGTATATAACCAATCCATATGCCATGCCTAGAGCTAACAAGATAGCAGATTAACTTTCTTGCTCCTCCGATGCTGCTTGGCCTGCTGTGTTCATCCAGCTCTACACCTTGTTATCTCAGATTCTCCAACATCTGCAGATCCTACTATCTCTAGCAGATTATATCTATGGGATGTGGGTGTTGCTGGCTCTGGTAAGGCCAGTATTTGTTGCCCATCCTTAATTGTGGTTGAACCTAATTGCTTTTTGACCATTTCAGAGGGCTATTAAAATTCAACTACATTGATGTGGCTTTGTCATCACATTTGTAGGCCTGACCAGGTAAGCATATCAGTCTTCCTTTTCTAAAGGACTTAGTAAGCTGGAAGGGTTTTTACAACAATTGACGATAGTTTCAGAATTAATTGAATTTCAATTTCACCTGCTGCTGTGTTAAATTTATGAAACTCCTCTTCATAATTGAATCTTGGAGTACTGGTGAAATTGATGAATTTGTATTCCATGTTTTCCAACTTCAATTTATTCTTTCTAAACTGTGGCACCCAGATCTGCAGGCAGTACTCCAGATATCATCTAACCAGGATTTTCTGCAGCTGCAGGAAAACATTATCCTTTTTATAACCAGCAGGCTAGAATAAAAAGGTTAATCTTTCATTAGGCTTTTTGATTTCTTTGGTGCTGGATTATTTTAGTGATGGGCGTATTGACATCCATAAGTTCCTAACTTTTCACTATATGAAACATAATTGGATCTATCTTTCTGAGTTCAACGTGATGAGCTCATTACTTACTATGGCACCAATCTATGCATTTTTGCAAACCTCAGTATACAACTCTCTATTGTGTTATCTAAGTAACTACCAAATATACTGAAACATCGAGTACAGACTCCACTGGGACATCACTTATCAACTCCATCCAACTGGAGTGCATACCAGCTATTGCTATTCATTTGCTTTCCTGCCTGACCATGTCAATAATTTGTCATCATTTTCCATGAGATTTAGGTTTCGCTAATAGGCTTCTGTGGAGCCTCTAGAAGTCCATATAAACCATTTTCAAATGCATTCCCCTGTCAATTACTTTAATTAGTTGTCCAAAAATGCAGTCAGGTTTGTTCGTCATGACCTACCCTTTACAACTCCATGTTGGCTCTCTCTCTAATTAGCTCAAATTTCTCCAAGTGCTAAGTTGGTCTGTTGCTAATTACAAATTCCAATAATTTGCTCGGAACAGATGCAAGACTAAAAAGTCATAATTCTCTGATTTCCTATTACACTTTTCTTAATTAAAGTTATACTTGTAACTTTACAGACTAAATCTTTCCCTTCGATGTAATGAAAATCAGAGGAAAACTTTCCTTTTTTCTGCATTCTTGGAATTAAGACAGCACAAATACATTACAAGACTTTCCACCAACAAATTAATAAAATGACAGTGCAAGCAACAATGTCAAGGTCTGGAAAGAAAGTGATGCAGTCTTCTTAAAGTGAAATGAAATAAATCTCCTTTAAAAAAGGAAGAAGGGAGTACAAACAGTGAAATTTGGTAATTTTCAGACTGATGCAATGTCTTTTCCTGATTGGAGTACGTCAGTGCATTCCATATGTTTGAAGGTTTTAATTACTACCGCTCAACAAGGCAACTGCACAATTTATACATAAAGAGACAGAACTCAGGCTAAACATGGTCTGTCTCTCATCTGATGAGCTGTGCCAGACATTTTATATTCTGTTTAACTCAATGTAGCGACTCAAACTGTCAGCTAAGTAAATATATATTAATTTGTCTGTTTAGACACCTTAGAAAAAGGTGAAATTCTTTGATTTTACATTTTTGTGTATCGAGAAGATGTGAATCATTGAAGGAATTAAATACTCACGGTTTCTTGGGATTTCTCCTTGACATCGTAGACAGTTAACTTCACCAGTGTTTCCTCATAAATGGGATAGCCCGGTGGGAAAGTAGCACCAGTCAAAAACACTGGATCTCTTGTTCCCTGCATGCCACAAGCAAACAGGCCTGTCTCAGTAAGCTAACAGCTGTGCACCAGGCAGCATAGAAAGAAATGACAGATGATTGTACCAAAAATGAAAACAGAAGCTTTAAAAGCAGCAGCTCAATAAAAGGCAGCTAAATCAGTGTAACCCATAGAGTATTAACAGCATTACCTTTAGCCATTATAGAATCAGTATCATTTTGAAACCCATCATTATTCAAGCAGCAGTTTACGATGTGTCTAGCAGTGCCCCTAAATGACTTTGTCCATAATTGTCATTTTTTTGTTAATGTTCATTTAATGCACTTTATTCTAATACTATGTATGGAAGGATTGCACTTCCTTCTTTATTGTAACTGTGTTTTTTAGCTACTTTGGAGTCAATACCAGCACTCAGATTGGATGCAGCAGCATTGCTAAAACCCATCATACTCATGTGGAAAGCTTCTTTATTTTAATTGCACCTGTCATGCACCACTGTCAGTTGTTGATGCAATTGTCATTCTAATTTTAAAGCCTGATGGAAAAACTCTAACTCTTAAAGTTAGAGTTTACCTCTATTCTAAAAGAGCTTTTCTTAAAAGAATAGGAAATGGAATATGGAAACTTATAGGAAAGAAGATTTTAAGACATGTAACCATTATGCAGGTATTTTACTAAACCATTATTTTGAGCTTCAGCTTCATCCTATCCAAAACCACTATTATAACACAAATCATTTAGTAAATGTCCACCTTTACATTAAAAGTCTTTAGGAATAACTGGTGAGTTTAATTCCATTGAGATGGGCCGGATGCAATTTGCACAATTGTACCAATGGGCTGAATATTTTATTGCCAATATACAAGTACAAGCACCCAGGTTGTTAACAAGGGTCAGCTTCTTGGACTTGTGAAGCATCCACTCAGAGGAACCCATCCTGGGAGCTGCTGGGAGTCAACCTACTTAAATGGCTACTCCCATGAACTGGCAGGCCCTCCTGGCATAGGCAAAACACCAATGAGAGACAGAAGTGGCCCTTACATGGGGCTTTCAGTGCCCCACCTGACTACTCGATGTCTGGCTACGCTGTTTATGCTCTCACACTGGGAATATCCCATGACATAAGGAAAAGGCTGCATTCCCCATCCAACATCTTTCTCTAACATAATTCCAGTCCTCCTGCCTCCTCGCCCATCTCCAGTGAGCTGAAAAAATTAGCTCACTGTGTTTGTATTCAATTTTTATTTTTGTTTATGCATGGAATATGGCAGTCACTGGCAGGGCCAGCCTTTATTGCCCATCTGTAAATGCCCCTTAACCTGAATGACTTGCTAGGGCCATTGTATAGGGCAGTTAAGAGTCAACCACATTGCTGTAACTCTAAAGTCATACATACGTCACACCAGCTAAGGACAACAGATCTTCTTCCTTTAGGAGGGATGTGGTAGCACTGGAGAGGGTGCAGAGAAGATTTACCATGATGCTGCATACACCGGAGAGTTTCAGTTATAAAGAGAGAGTTTGGATGGACTGAGATTGTTTTACTTAGAGCAGAGGAGATTAAGAGGGAACACGATTGACACATATAGAATTATGAGGAGCATAGATAGGGTAAACAGGAAATAACTTTTCCTTTGATGGAGGGATCAATGATGGGGGCGTGGTGAACAGATTTAAGGCAAGGGGCAGAAGATGTGAGGGGATGTGAGGGAAAACTTTTTTACCTAGAGGGTGGTGAGAATTTAGAACTCACTGCCCGTAGGGGTGGTTGAGGCAGAAATCCTCAAAGTTAAGAAGTATTTAGATATGCACTTGGAATGCCAAGACAAACAAGACTGTGGACCGAGTGCTGGAAAGTGGGATTAGAATAGTTAGGTGATTAGTTTCGACTGGCACGGCCAGAAGGGATCAAATGCCTTTTTTATGTGCTGTAGATCTCTATGGCATTAGTGGACTGTATGGCTTTTAAAACAATCAATGATTTAGTTGCCATTAATTCCAGATTTTTACTGAATTCAAATTTCACGATGTGCCATCTCCCAGAACATTAACCTGGTGTTCTGGATTACTAGTCCAGTGACATTACTAATACACCACCAGCTTGTTGTTTGTGTCTGCAATTGTTGACTGTTCTCCTTTTCCATACATTCCCGGCATACAGTTCCATTCGGTTGAGGTGCCTCCTGCTGTTTCCCTTAAGTGACCAAGGTTTAGGTGTAGAGGATAACTGTAGTGTAAAAAAGACTGCTCAAATCAGGAAAAATCATAGCTGAACCCAACTTTGTCCTTTTCTGGCTAGTGCATGCATTTTCCAGCCCAAATCACTGGAAAAAATCCATCAGTGAAGGGAATACAAGACAAATTCCTTTCCCTAGGCTAAGGGCACAGAACCTATATAAATGTTTAATTGGGAGAGGACCTAACTCAGCATAAACTACAGATCTATTCTAGCTATTCACTACCTTAAACCAGCTTAACTATCAGGGAAAGCCAAAAGCTAATTGTTAACTGGGATTTAGCCTGCAACCACTCTTTCATCCATTCACCTTCCCTTAATATTTAAATAATTATGTAATTAATACAGTCAGAAGTATTTGTTTCACTCCACTCCTGAACATTCTCCCCTTGCCTTTCTCCAAACATTGCTGGCTCTTCCTTGAGCCACTGGCACCAATTGTTCATTGATATCTTGCCCATATGATTATTCTGATTATAGAAGCACATAAAGAATTGGCAGTCTATAGCAGGAATCACAGTCAAACCTGACCCCGTGCTCAGTTGATGTTTTTACACACATCTTGTTTCCAACAGAGACCATGAGTAATCTGGGTCATTTCTAATCTGTGAGAGCACAATGCCACGCCAGTATCTATATTTTTATGCAGTATGAAGATGGTTCAATGGATTTAATGAAAGTGACAACCCAGCTTGTTTTTAAACACAGTCTGGAAGATTGGGGAAAAATGCTGCTAATCTTGCATTGTATTTTGACGTACGTGTACACAATTCTTGCTCAAGCATTATGTGATCTAGGTTCTGTATCCAAGCCTCTGTCTATTTCTTAATAAGAATATTTATTTTTGTATCAATTGCAAATTATAGCCACCTTGCAGCTCACACAATACACCACAGCAAATATTGGTTTTCACACTTTAACAGCAGCAAACAGTGAATATGTTTCACTCCAAGCTGTCAGTCACTCTAACAGAATAATAATTCTACCAAAAGCAACACTGAGCCACATTTGTAGAAGCATCAACAGAAGGCTTTCGACAACATATTACTCTGCCACAGTGTAGCCTTGCTGCAAAGATGAAAGTGGGCCTTACTGCCAGTAAGAAATTTGGAAAGCTTACAAGGGCCCTGGATGGCTTTACATAAAAAGAGATCAAGATACAGTAAAACATGTAATTTTCAGTCCATTTGCAGCCCTAGAAATCTGCCGATTTCTGACAGATCTCCCACGACAGCTTCTCCCATCATTAGGAGCTAATGTATTTATAAAAAAAAAACTTTTACAGACCTGCACTATGGCGACTTTTGCTTTCGATTTCTCTCCCACTGAGCTCTGTTGGTCTGCTGTATACCACATTAATACTAAAACCCAACACCATAAGTCATGTGGGCAGATCAAGTGCAAAGGCTGTACAACAGCTCCATTACTATAATTTAATTTTAATATTCACTTGGTTATGCACACAAAAGCTGCCTTTGTATGTATATAAATTCTGATTTTTTTTCCCTTGTTGTAGGGAGAACAGTCTGATTTTTTACACAAAAGCCAGAATAGATGGTTGGCATTATTAAACAGATGTAGCAGCTGGTATGGGTTGGCAGCTTACGGTTTTTATTGGTTTACATCCAAATTAGTCGTAAGATGAATTCTACCTTAGTTTGATCAGTTTAAACCTGACATATATATGGCATATACAAATACAACATTTAAACTGACAAATGGAGACTGCATTTGGAGTTGGATTCAAACTCCAACTGACAAAGTACAGTATTTTGTCTCCGAGCAATTATATCTTGATCAAGAATTGTTCCTAACATCAGCAAGTTATGATTTTTGCCATAATTTTTGATCTTAAAGAGGCTCCTCCCTCATTGCTATTTCCTGAATTAGATGGAATTTCAAGACATTGAAGGGGGCTGACTTCAATAGCCCTGAAATCTGATGCAGAAATCATAATTCTGCATTAACCTTTGCCCACTGACTCCAATGCAGGCAACATACCAATCTTGTGCCAGTTGCAGGCTTAAATGATTTCAGCATCCAGCCAGCACTAAATAATCTGTTGCTTGCCTATCCTCCTAAGCAGGTGGCAATATCATGAGAGGCAGGCACCACCTGAAACTGATCTGTATTATTTAAACGTAAGCTGTCCCTCTTAAAGGCGTGGTAATTTGTGGCTGGAGCAGGTACTAGAAGTCCTCGGGGAGCCGAACCTGACCTGGAAAAGACAAAATAGTGGCCCAACTTGGGACAGAGCATGCTCCAAGATTCCTGAATTGCCACTCCGAAGTGTAGGAGGTGAAAGGGAAGGGAGATGTCCTGTATTTGGAAGAGGTCAGGAAGCCCTATAGATCAATGTTCAAGAGTCAGTGGGAGGAGATAACTCTTACCATTGGCTCCATGGCCAAGTCCAAGGACCTGGATATAATGCTGCAAAAAATTCAGTGATCTCACACAAAGAGTCAAGGTCAATGAATGCATCTTCCAAATACATTTCCTACAAACAATGCCACTAGCTTGAGGTATTATTTAATTCACCATACCCTCACAATTCATCTACTAAAAAACTCTATCAGCGCTCTCACCTGACATCAATAGAGTTCACACCTCACTTGCAAACTAAACACTGATGCAAGCCTATCCTACCCTGACCACAGTGGAGGAGATACGGCTGGCCTTTATTCAGAGTAATGTATTTTTCAATTATTTGAAATCATTTGTTTAAGTGGATGGGCTCATGTAATTAATATGTGCAACTGTGCGTGCACAGTAACTTAATAAG